GTGTTTTGGAGTTGTCAGTCTGCTTGTTTGTTTTCTGTAATGGCGTGTGTAAATCGGTGTTTCTTCCACCGAAAAGCTGAAGTCAATGAGACTCTTTCTACCTAGACACAAGGAGATTTAATGCGACTTTTATTCATCGAATTCCTGCGTTTCTGCCGTGAAATTTACGACGAAAGTGTATTTTAGGATTTTGAACTGGTGCTGAATAAAATTCTTTCTTAGCCTAAACTTATAAATTCGTTTGTATCTGGCGCATGTCAAACCCATTTGCAGCTTAAAAGTCAAACAGGGATTGTCACTTACTAAATTGGCTTGCCATTAAGTCTTATGATCGCCTTCGTATGAAATTGTTTTTTTTGTTGTTGTTGTTGTTGTTGTTAAGTCCGCGTTTTACTAGTCCGCGTTTTACTAGTCCGCGTTTTACTAGTCCTCGTTTTACTAGTCCGCGTTTTACTAGTCCGCGTTTTACTAGTCCGCGTTTTACTAGTCCGCGTTTTACTAGTCCGCGTTTTACTAGTCCGCGTTTTACTAGTCCGCGTTTTACTAGTCCGCGTTTTACTAGTCCGCGTTTTACTAGTCCGCGTTTTACTAGTCCGCGTTTTACTAGTCCGCGTTTTACTAGTCCGCGTTTTACTAGTCCTCGTTTTACTAGTTCGCGTTTTACTAGTGCGCGTTTTACTAGTCCGCGTTTTACTACTCCGCGTTTTACTAGTTCGCGTTTTACTAGTCCAGTCCAGTCCAGTCCAGTCCAGTCCACGAAATACCATATGCCCCTTGACTGTGCTCTGTTCTGTAGTAAAGCACTTAAGAAGCGGTTAGAGCACGAAAGAAGTGTAGGGAGAGACACGAGACGTTGTCGAGTGTTTCTTCCCACTTCTTGAGTGCTCTAGCCGCTTCCTAAGTGCTTTACTACAGAACAGAGTACAGTCAAGGCTTCCCTATTTGTTTTATGATAAAGAATCTGTTAAATTCCCCACACATTACTTGCAATTTCCAAACAAACTTTATTTTCAAAGCGAACAACAGTGTCGTCAGCAGGCTCTATACTCTGACAGAGCACGCTTACATTAAGCCAATCAGAATCCTTGTTAGAATGGGCAACCTAATTTGATTGGATGAACAAGACCAAAGCTGTCAAAATGTCAAACTATCAAAAGCTATCAAGAAGAATCGCAGATCTTACTTAATAATTCGAATGCATAAAAGTGTATTTTTTGAGTACAATAACCAGCATCCGTAGTAACATGATTAATGAATTTTGGCCCATGAAAACCTGGACGTTATCTACGTGACAATTTGAAAACAACTGCTTAAAGCTTGCATGTGGTTGGAACTTGACAAACTGCTGCGCTGTGTTGTTCTGTGAATAAACAACGGTCGAATTTATAGCAGCGTGAGGATTTTCTGAACTGGTGGTTGCATCAGAGGAACTTGGCTGCGATGGTCTTCCATTCAATGCACCAGAGAGGATATCTGAACAAGCCCTTAGCTGTTCACTGGATGAACGAGTGCTGTAATTCCTCAGGCTAGCTTCACTGCGATGACGAGAGATGGCCATCGTGTGCCGCGATGGAACTTGCGCGTTGGACCACAGCGTGATTGCAGTGGCTCTGACACTATGGTTAGTGTAGATTGAGATAATGTATCCTTTTGAATTTTTCTACTGGAGAACGAGGCCAGAATGGCTAATTTAAATTTAAATAAAAGCATATTAATCCTGCAGCCATTTATAAAAGTGGTCTATTGTCTGAGTATCCAGCCCGCCAAGCTGGCTAATCACCCTTCTTCCCTCCCCCTCCCTCCCTCCCTCCATCCATCTGTCCGTTGGTTTATCCACACCTCTCTCACTTAAATCATCCCCCCTTCTTCCCTCCCCTTCCCCCTTCTCCCTGAATCTATCAGTCCTTGCCTCCCTTCCTAAATCCACCCTTATGCTCCTTCCCTTCTCCTGTCTATCCACCCCTCACTTCCTGTCCCCTCACTTCCTGTCCCCTCACTTCCAGTCCCCTCACTTCCTGTCCCTCACTTCCAGTCCCCTCACTTCCTGTCCCCTCACTTCCTGTCTCCTCACTTCCTGTCTCCTCACTTCCGGTTCCCTCACTTCCAGTCCCCTTTCTTCCTGTCCCCTCACTTCCTGTCCCCTCACTTCCTGTCCCCTCACTTCTTGTCCCCTCACTTTCTGTCCCCTCGCCATATCCCTTCCTACCGTCCTTCACTCTGTCCCGGCATCATCTGTCCCACCGTCCATCTATCTGTCCATACATTATTCTCCTCCAACCTTCTCACTCCTGCCTCCTGCTTTTTGCCCCGTGCATACCTTATTCCCACCCTCTCTCCCTCCCTCCCTATAAGCTCCGCAAGTTAGACTAGCAATACTTGATAATTGGATTAGGTAGTTAGGTCATTTCTTCAGAGAGCTTATTTCTAATTTCACCTCTTTTAGGATGAAAGAAACAGGACAAAGGATGGTATGTAATCTGTCAAAATGAACTTTATTGCACGCTTTGATTT